ACTGCTGATACATGACAAATGGTCAAAAATCTATAAAGCAATTTCAAATTTGTGTTAGAAATGTAATCAAACCCAAGAGTACTTTTTTTTTTTTCATTTTTGGTGGACTTGCAAAGTCAAAAATATTCAGACCAAGTATGCATTCTGATTCAGAAGATTTTAAAATGAATGTACAATTGAAACTAAAGACTTTCATTTGAGGTCTAATGGATAAACAAATGGAAACATCTTATGGAACTTTGTTTTCATACATGTCAACAGAAAGGTACCACTTCGGTGGGAAGGTAACAGAGTTCTGTGCACCTCAGCATATAGTCATGTTTGCCACATGACCATGGAAGTATCTTCGGACAATACTGGTTCTCTCTGCTAAAAATGGAAATGAGCACTGACTGCTAGAGTCGGACATGACTGGACATGGGAGGCTTTTGCCTTTTTTTACAATGGAAGAATGGAAGGTGAAGGTGATAGAATTGGTGGAGGTAGCAAAATTGATACCTTTGATGAAAGAAAAAAAATTGTCTAATTTTATTTCTATTTGGAAACCACTTTTGGATTTTTTTGTAAGAAACTGAAAGAAATGAAAAGTTGATTGTATGGAAATAATGTATATAATTGTAAACCTCAGATGTATTCATATCCATACCCCAAAAAAGTCTGAAGTCATTCTTTTTCTATCTTTATTTGTTTTCTTGTTTCTTTTCTGCACTTTTTTTCTTTTTTTGAACATTTTTTTTAAAAAAATCCTGTTTATTTATCTTTAAACCTGTATTTTTATGAAAATCAATAAAAAATATACATATACTGTAGATGAGATGAACTTTTCTTAGTTTGCTCCTGAATCCCTGAATGCATGATATTCAAGTATTTTACTTATAATGTTTATATTCCATTCCTCCTCTTAAAGGTATTCACTCTTAATACCAGGGATTACATTTTGTCTTTGCAACAATGGACCGAGCAACTTCTCCCTCCATATTAACTTCCAAATAAACCTCTGAGCTGAATAAGAAAAAAAATCAAATTAGTAAACCCGTATTCTCCACACATACTATTCTAAAACATTCCAAATTAGGTTTCACCTGTCAGTTAGATGCAGTCTGGTTACATCTGAATCACTATGTATATTACCACATGTTATAACAAATTGTTTGAGCATCTTTAGCGAAAGAAGTTGATTTCTTGCTTTCTGTTTGAATAAATGACAAAGTTGTCAATATTGCACTAAACATATTTCCTTAGATTCTGGCTAAGTTCTGTTGTGGTACAAGCATCAACTGAAAGTCAGTGTACCCTCCCTTATAGAGCAAATTGTTATTACCGCATTCTACAGATCAGAAAGCAAAATGGACACAATGTTTTTGCCAAGTTTCCTTGGTTTAAAACAAATCTTAACAGGAATCGGGATAAAGGCCTTCTAGATCCAAGTCCATCTCTTTTTCCAATGAATGCTTGGTCAACAGGGCCATTCCATTAATTCTTTACCCAAAGTTAGTCTTTTAAAAAACACACTTTGAATAAAGCTGTCTTGTACTCTTTAACTATGGTATGTAATTTATGCTGATTACTGACCATCTCTTTCTTCGCCTCACCTCCGGCATCCAGAAGGGCAAACAGAAAAATTCAACTAACATATGAAAAATCAGGGATAGTTTCCCAGCAGATTTAGTGAAAGATCTTTAGAATTTCAGCAAAACCCAGCATGATCTGAACATGTAGATTACTAGAAATAAATTACTGTGATCACTTATACCTGTTTATTAAATGTTTATCTATATTCCTTTGAAAAAAATCTTGATATATTCCATTGTGTAACAAGCACAGTGTGTTTAGGCTGATGCTTGAAATTTATAGAATGACATTTGTATATGTTCTGATTAGTATAATTATGTTATTTCAATACATAATGAACACAAATGGAAACCAAAGGATTATCTAATTCATAAACTACATTCTGCAACATATACAAAAGGCAGATTACTATATCACTCATTTAATTTCTTCCATTTTACTTTGGTTTTCATTTTTTCTTCTCCTTTGCTTAAGGCAATATTAACTGAGAAGACAAAATCATTAATCCATGAGCAAATAAGCCACATTTACATTTATGTTATGTAACATTGATTTGGCTTTGAAAATATGATTTAGAGTTTGCATAGGTATAAATGTAGCACTTACTGAGAAGAAATATAGCTTTTTTTTTGCAGAATTATTCAACAAACTCAGAAAAAGATGCAGCTGGTTTAAGTGATCCCAACAGGTACCGTACTTTATGTGCTACCCAGAAAACTGTAAATCACATTTAAACTTCAAAGTTGCTACTAAATTCTTCTTAATTACAAGTAATAGGATTTAAAATTCAAAAATAAGCCTTTCCACTTTTTATTTCAATAAAATGCAATTCAGTGCCCACTTTGGCAAATCTCTACTACATGTTGCCCGTGATCTCAGGTTGGGCTCTTCTGCTTTTAAAAATTAGATATGATGTAGATTCTAGAGGTATGACAGGTATCTACCCCAAACTGTTGTGTTTTATAAATGATATCTATTTCCCACCCTGAGTGAAGGCACTGAAGCATTGTTCTGTGTATCCCCACTGACTGGAAGTCAAATCAGAACATCTGAACATAAATTGAATTGAATAAATAAATAAATCTGATTGAGATACAGCCCCAATTCAATATCTAATGTGCCTGAATCAATACATTACACCTGTTTCTATAGTTGCCAAAATTATGACCAAAAATTATCCCATTTTTAATAAAAATATATGACATTATTATAGATATTGATTACAGATCTTGAAGCTAATTGAATTTACATTGTATGTGAAAGTGAATAAAATAAATGAGTGTGTATGTGTGTACATATGAACATACTTTGGACTCAAAAGACTTTAATACGTTTTTTAGCATCTAAGCCTCTTGTAACATACTATCACATCCAAAGCATAGAATATGCAACCAGTAGAAGCAACATACCATAAAGAACTCAAAGTAATTTCGTTAATATTTGAAATCATGATAATTCAATGAGACTTAAGTCCATTTAATTTTTCCAGGCTGTATTTATACACTTGTTTTTCTTGTTCTATGTCCAATTGTATTTCATTTATTTTGCTGTTGAATTATTAGGCAGCTTATTCTTAGTTAGCTATTAATCTGTTTTGGCTATGACCAAAAGTGCTGACTGCTTTTATTTCATTTTCCAGTTCACTGAGCTTATCTCTGTATGCCTGAACCAATTACAGAGTGGGTTCTGACATGTCCATTTCTGTCTTAAAAGCGTAGACCATTCAGTATATCAACAAGCTGAAAAAGGTGAAACAAAATGAGACATATTTAAATATAAAATGATTTAATATTAGCAAAATTGATTGCAAAAGCAAACGTTGAACATGTACATCTACCACTCATAAAGATTGAAGTAATCAGATTATTGCCCACTTCATTGCATCACAAACAGAATAAAGGAAAATACACATGATTTATACAAAAATATTGGAGAATTTTCACCATGTATCTTTTTGCTTACAAAAATAAATAGAAGACTGAATTTATGTAAGATAATCAATGGAATAAGAAATGAAAGAACTCCTGTATACATAGTAGAGCAAGGATATTAACTATGTATAGCTAATTGTAATTCAACTAAGTAACCCAATCATTATTACTATTGACATTTGGCATATATAGTTGACCATGATGGGTAAAACCTACTTCTATTAAAATAAAAAGGTATACAAAAGTTTTCAAAACTGTGCAAGACTTATATGTTAAGTTTGCAATTTTACAAATACTTACCTTCGAATAGCCCTTTCAGCATAGTTTATGAGCTTTGTACGTTAATTTGACCTAAGTCACTTTATTTGTAGTAATTTTAAAGCAGCTCAATAGGCTACAAATTGTTTAACAAAATCCTAATTTATTCCTTCATTAAAGCTATACCGGTGTAGTCTCCATTATTATTCCTTTAAAGACTTGTATTTTAAAGGACATACTCAGAATTTGAAATATGATCTCACCAACATCCACGCCTAGTTTTCTCATTGTGTTTGCTAGGCAGATTTACTTACTACCAAAGATTCCTAGCGTTTGTAATAATGTCTGAACCCGCTTCTTTAAAAAAGAAAAAGAAAAGAATTTTACTGGACTTTAATTTGAATCCAGTTTCTCCTAAAAGCATAACTGACCCTGCAAATTATTTAAGATAATAAGGAGGGAGGGAGGGAGGGAGGGAAGGAAAAAGATGCAAACAAGAGAGGAGTCAGACCGACTAGACAAAACATTTCAGAAACAGGACACCATTCATCTAGGCTCAGCATTCGGTTCAGGGGTTGAAATCTGGCTCAGGTAAGGAAAGGGCTTAACGCAGACAGACTTTTTCTCGGCATCCCAATTCGCCCAGAGTGAGCTAAATTGAGGAAGGTTGGTTTAACTGTTCAAGGCGGGGAGATGGCATTTTCTCTGAGCATCTTCCCTTTCCCATCACCTCTTCCGCCCTCTCGCTTCTCGCGCATCCTTCCACCGCCTTCTAGCACAGCTGCCACGCCTTACAATAATACCGCACTCCACAGCCAACGGGCGGGGGGGGGGGGGGGAAAGAGAGACTCGGGCTTTCCACAGACAGAGGCCTCCGGGGCTGCCCCTCCCCGTATAAATTGGGCCGAGCCGTCCTTTCAAGTCCCTACCTTCGCCTGGGTTCCAGCCCTTCCAGGCAAACCGTCCCTGTCAGTGGAGCAGAGGGAGACGCGGCTGGAGGTGCCTGCCAACCGCGCTGTATCCCCATCCAACCTGCACCCCTCTGCGCGCGCGCGCGCGCCGCCCGCATTCCCGAATCTCTACGGCGGGAAGTTGCTCAGAACACCTTCCCCAACTGCGGGAGGGAGGGAGAGGCAGAAGGGAGAAAACCCCCCCCCGCCCTCCGGCCGCCAACCAACATCGGAGGCGCCCACCCGCTCCTTCTCCCCACCCCACCCCACCCCGCCTGCCCATCTGTACCTCTTTCCTCCTGCTGGGCGCTCCCGGGCGCGTGAGGAGAGCGGTCTCTTCGCACACCACGACTACATCTTCCACAAAGACACAGTCGGGCAAGCTCTCGTCGCCGGGCAGCTCCAACACCTGCAGCCCCAGCTTGTTCTTCAGCACCCCCACGTAGAGCTGATGCTCCCGCTCGGCGCGCGCCAAGTCCACCTCTTTCGCCTTCTCCCGCCTCAGCGCCTGCTGGCAAAGCGACTCCGGCAGCGCCCGCACCACCGCGTGGCTGCACCGCCCGAAGCTGAAGGGGCCGCCGCTCAGCCCTGCCATGTTCGCAAAACAGGGGGGGGTTTTAGCCGGGAAACTCAAGCCGACCGGGAGAAACACCACAACCCTGCCCTTGCAGTGTCTGGCTCCGCGCGCTGCCCGGCACCGCCGTAAGGAAGCGCAGCTTGCTGCCAAGCGTCCCCCTCTCTTCCCGGAGCCAGCTGAAATGGCCTCCCTTCCCTCCCAACAGGAGGAGGTGGTCGCGAGCGCGCTTAGGAGCCGGAGAGGCTGTGGATTGGCCACGCCTTGCTATATAGTACCTACATCATGCTCCGTGTTCAAAGAAGCGTCCATTGGCCGGTTATTTGGGTTGAGATACCTGGTTGGTTCAAACTGGTCGAAATTACCTCGCACCGGTTTTATTAGCCTTGGAGGAACCTTGGCGAAACATGCTGGTTGTTTAATTGCATCCCGGTTCGGTGGCCCATTGGTGGCAGATGCGATGCCTGGGCTCGCCCTGATGGATGTACAAGAAGTATAGCTTTCAAATGCATGAAAGTCTGTAGAGATTCTCAATCATCCAGGTCATAGTTGTGCCAAAGGTGCTTTTTCAGGAGGCAACTGGACTTTCTTGTTTTTTCTTTTGAAGACATTTTGCTTCTCATCCAAGAAGCTTCTTCCGCTCTGACAGGATGGTGGGGAATGGAAGGATTTATATTCCTTGCAGACAACTGGCCATTTGCATCCTTTTAGGGGGTCCTTGAAGCACTTGGAGGTTTATCCAAGATCCAAGATAAACAAGATACCTCCAAGATACAGATAAACTTCCAAGTGCTTCAACAAAAGGATGCAAATGACCAGCTGTCTGCAAGGAATATAAATCCTTCCATTCCACACGGGTGGGTTCTACTTACCTCTGCTACTTCTGCACATGTGCAGATCGTCCATGATGACGTCCGGGTCCGGTTCACAAGAACCGGACCAAACTGAGAGCAACCCACCACTGCTTCCCTACTATCCTGTCAGAGCTGAAAAAGCTTCTTGGATGAGAAGCAAAATGACTTCAAAGAAAAAACAAGAAAGACCAGTTGCCTCCTGAAAAAGCACCTTTTGGACTTTCAAATGCATGTTAAGTTCTTCCTCAGCATAACAGTTTAGCCAGGCTAAAAAGAGATTGTGTACTCTCCTCCCTGCCTGGTTTCTGAAGATAGTTTGAAGGAGAGCTTGTGTACAAATATCACACTTGTTCCTTCTGGTAATATCACACTTTACAGATTTCTGCTTTGTGGGGTTTTTTAATTGGAAAGGGGGAGGGGGAAACCCTGCTAAAAGTGAACCGGAATGTGTCCAGATTGTCTTAGTAACTTGTGAAGAATAAAAATAAATTAACATCTGCTACATTTGCGTATAGAATGGATGAAAACCAGCCTTTTAATCAACTTAATCAATGTTGCCAATATTTAAACCTGGTGACTTCTATTAATATATTTTTGTACTCTGTTTCACTATGAAGTGACTCATAAATCGTTTTATGTTTTAATTAAATTGTCTTTGTTGCTTAACGATTTCCTTTCCTTTCCTTGCACTGTAACAATTCAGCATTATGTACATATATTCACACATACATCCCATTAAGTTCCATAGTTCAATTTCCAAATAACTACTTGTAAATTTCAGCATTAATCTGTGTTTGGAAATTATGGACTTTTTATTTAAATTTTGAAGGTTGAAAATTGCCACCCCAGAAAGGGCTTTTTCTATAGTTTTCTGTAAGTGAATATAGAACATGTTCTCTCTTCTAAATCAATGTGTACCAGAGAAAACTAGACTAAAGAATTTTGCACTTCCCTGCTTTCATTTACTGGAAAACAAAATTGTTAGGTTATTTTTTTATTGTCCGTTCTGGCATAATATTCTTCAACTCTTTAACTCTTTATCTTTTCTGGATATACTTCAAAGGAACACATAAGGTTAATTTATAAGGATATTTTCATATAGTTCATTCCTCAACAATGGCAAGACACACAAAAAAAGTGATGTGTAACCCTAACATAAATTTTAAAAATGATTTAAACATCCCTATTCCCAAGAAAGAAGGGGAGTAAATTCAGGTCTCACCCATTAAGATGCAGCTCTGCAGACTTTGTGCTACCACTTAAACCACCATGGACTTAACCCTCCCCAATGTTAATTCTCCCATCAAAAGATTGCCCGTTCCTTGTTTATAAGAAATGTATATTGCATGAAAAGCCAGGATTCTAATCGTTGCAAGAAAAGACTAAAGTGGAACGTGCGTTACAAGATGAGATCTAATTAGAGAACTTGTGACCCATTGAGTCACCCTTTCAGAGGCATTTCCCTACATAAACAGAGAAACTGAAAGTCCATAGGCAGATTGCTATTGTTTTTGGTTTAAAACCAAAGCAATAGCAATCTGCCTGTGGTCATTCTGTTTATTTAACTAAGGAAATGTCTTTGAAAGGATGACCTAGTCCTAGTGGATCATGGGTTGTCTTGTTAAATCTATTTACCCCTTTGTTTATGAATTCTCTCTCATACATCCTGACATTTGATGTTATCTCTTGACCATGACTTCCCCCTCTCTTTCCACATGGTGTAATTTTGCTGACAATATTTATTTATTTATTTTAAACACAGTGCTGCACATTGCCATTCTCAACTCAGAACAGTTTAGAATCCTTGCCAACTTCTCCACTGAATTATAGGAAGCTGTCAGAGAAAGTTTAAAAATAGGATCATGTAACTTTCTGAGGGCTAAGGCAGGTCCAATCTATCTGATCTCTGATGGCCAAAGGAAGGGGCGGGCTACACTCAATTTTGGAGTAGGAAGCAGCTGATCACTGAAGCAGGATGGGCAAAAACTAAAGTATACTGGCTGATATACTTGATTGACACTAGAGAAGTCCAGTTTCTACTCCATCTGCAGCCACAGCTGTTAACTTGGTGACTTTCAGTCTAAACTACCTCACAGGGTTGCTGTGAATAAATATAGGAGGATGCAGCTCTATGTATGTGCCTTGAGTCCCTGAACAAAGATGGGATATAAATACATGTATATGTTTGTGTGCCAGAGAAGGGGCACATAAAGCAATAAAAAAATATCCAGGCTTTCTTCATGCACCTTAAACCTGTTGCTTCTTTAAGAGCCACATGATGAGTTAATTCTTTCCAGTAGGGATTGCACACTGGTTGGGAAACTTCACACTGAATACTGAAAATGAAAGATCATGTGACTGCAGCAGTATCCAGTAGCACTAAAACAGCCACAACATTCCCAAATAATGTGAACGTTCCTCGGGAATAATTGGTCCTGGATTTTAGACACATTCTGTACATTAGCCCATCTGAGTTACATTGGTTCAAAAACTGCTGCCCTATGATGCACTGTTTCGTCCAGTTAAAGGTCATGACAACAAGATTTTTATACGTGTTTTATATTCTTGGACCCAAGTCACAGAACTGGAATTGTGATCTGACCTAAGGCAAAGGCAGAACCAAAAAGAAATGTTCATTTCTTTCTCTGTGGATGAGTTCTGAAGTACAATAGCAGGGTCAATAATGCTCAGCTTCATTGACTGCAAAAATGCATGGCTGCTATATTTGTTTTGGCTCCACAAACAGAAATTGAGAAGGTTTTGTGTTATGGTGAGAAACAGAGTCAAGAGTCTATAAAGGAGCATATCAAATCTATTTTACATAATACATATCTTGTGCATTCTTGTTTCTGAAATAGTGTCATTATTGGCTTTCCTTTCAAATGTAGTAAGTTCTAAAAGAAACCATTTTGCCAAAACATGTATCTAAACATGAATAATAAAAATTATATGGGCTTGCTGGATTCTGCCTGATCTTCTGCCCACCTTTCCACCCTCATCTGCCTGGCCTTAAAAGCTACTTTAACTACAGAGACTCTATATGGGGCACACTCCAACCATAACAATCATTTAACAAAATATTCACAAGGTAACCATAAAATGCTGGGGGCCATATCTACTGTATTTTTCAGACTATAAGTCGCACCTTTCCCCCCCCAAAAAGAGGGTGAAAATGTGGGTGCGCCTTATACTCCGAATGTAGCCCCACCCAGCTTCTCAAACGGAGGTTTCAGAGGCTACAAAAAAGGATGAGAAATGAAGCTTCAGAAAAGAAGCCCCCAAACAGAGTTTCAAAGGCTTTTTTTCTGAAGCTCTGTTTCAGAAGTTTCAGAGGCAGGAAAAAAAGCAAAAAAAAAAAAAAAAAAGCAAGGCACAGAGCTCACAACCAAGGAACCTGTTGCTAAAATTCACCTCTGGGAACAGCTGATTGGAGGTATTCCAGGAGGCCGATCCACCTGCCAATCAGCTTTTTTCTTATTTTCCTTCCCCAAAATTAAGGTGCGTCTTATACTCTGAAAAATATGGTACTTTAGTTTCTGAAGACCTCTTGAATCAACCAAGAATTAGTAGCCTTCCTGAACTGTAAAGGGTTCTAAACTGTAAAAGGTTGGGAGCTGTTCTAATCCTAGAAGTATTCCAGAAGAATGAAGTTGTTACAAAGAAGTTCCATTTTCTTTAGGAGTAGGAAGTGTTACCAATATAACATTTTAAACATATGCTTTCAGTAACTAAAACATTCTTTTATTCAAATAACTCATTATTAGATGCTGTTTGAATATCCAACAAGACTCTCTTGCTACTACACTGCTCTAGAATTAAACCTGTTCCATGCACACACACTGGTACATTCATGAAGTGATGGAGTTGCCACGGCAGTTGACAGGCTGATCCAGTTAACATTTAGGTCAACTGTTGATTCAGAAGAGATCTCCAATATCAGTCTTGCAGTGTTTCCCTTGGAGCTATCAAATGGGCAGTTTCCTATTGACAGGATGCTGAATCACATTGCTGCCACCAACAATTCAGGTCAACAGTGTGACTTTCCGCATATGGTTGCCAAGTTTGATTCATTTTTCCTGTAAACATAGAAATACATTTCTATTGTAATATTAGCACCTTAAAGGAAATTAAATTATATTTTACAATTTGGATCCATACTTAATTTAATAAATTAAACGTGATTCAGTAATTCTAACAAGATTAGATAGAACAAAAATATTATTTCAATCTTTATTGTAAGAAATCTTTCTTTAGTGTGCTTTTTATTAGTTATGTCAGTTTGCAATTTTATATTGCTACAAAAAACAAGCTTTTAAAATTAAAATAGTACAATACAAAAAACAATAATATCTAAAAAGTATAGTGCTTATACAATGAAGAATGAAAACCTAAATATA